TATGGAAACACCACTTCGACCAAGTATCCTCCCCTTGTAATAGCAGTGCCTCGACAGAAATTTGTTTTCCAAATGTTCACCTTTTCGGAGCCTTCTCGCCATGAGGAGCCTATATCTGGGTTTTTCAGCGCATAAAAATGGCGGAAATGAGCTTTTTCGAAGCTTTCCAGGCCCGTATTCAGGGGAAAATACGTGTAAATGGGCGGGACCCGGAACCGGAGAAAATGATCGCGAAAGACCAGCCGCGTATTTTCACTGAATGCGAACTTGAAAAGCCTCCAAAAAAAACTCATTTTCACTACTTTCATGCGCTGAAAAGCCCAAAAATGGATGGCTCATGGCGAAAAGGATCCGAAAAGGTGAAAAACTGGAATACGAAAATCTGTCGTGAAATTGCCTTTGATCTTAAAAATTTATGACCATCATGCTCAACTGTTCTGCCTTATTTAACTTTCATTAAGGAGACCAAAAGGCTTCTACTAGCTGAAAATGGCAATGATGAGGATAAAGTCTTGGTTGTCATTGGTGACATTTGCAACGAGAAAGTTATGAAGCAGATAATCGACGAAACTCTAGAAAAGTTCCATTGTCTAAATGTTCTGGTAAGCTTGCAGTAAGCACATAGTGCTCTCTGATGCACAGTTTGATCAGGTCAACAATGCGGGGGGAACACATGGAGAGAAGTTCGTGAGTGAGCTGGAAGGTGATCTGGCTGCATTTGATTACACGTGGAAGCTCAATACGAGAAGGTATGATGTAATTACGAACTGCAGTACAAGTTTTATCTACTAATATTCTAGCGTTCTTCGCCTCTGCCAACTTGCCTATCCACATCTTATAGATTTTCAGGGTGAGATCGTGAATGTAAGCAGCATTGCTGGGCTGCACAACGGAGCTGTGAGTTTGATTTAGTAAAAAAAAAGTATAAGTTTACTCACGGAATCGCCCTATCGCCACAGGCGGAACGTCTGTGAGCGCGTCTGCTAACGTTAGTCTTCGCGCGCATGAGTCAACACAGCTCCAGTACTCGGAAGCCGTGTTGCACGCACGCTCTCGTGCGCCCTTCAGCTTACGCAATCTCGTGCACTCGGCTTCAGCTTGCTGTAAACAAATAGAGAATATTCAGGCGCCGTTTCCGTTCTACAGTATCTCGAAGGCCGCCCAAGATCAGCTCACTCGCAATATGGCAGTCCACTACATCAAAAAAGGAGTTCGTGTCAATAGTGTGAGGTGAGCTAACTCG